ATTATAAACCTAGTATTCTTCTATAAGATCCCACACAAAATATCATTCTCAGACATTAAGGACATACAATTCGCGCAAGAAGGCTCTTACGATCTGCGTAACCAAAACTGCACAGTGACAATAAAGGCCTTTAAGTCAACACTCCGCGAAAACTTCTTCACAGTCATGTATTCTAAAATATGGGACAATCTGCCCCCTAGATGTCAGGAACTGCAATAAAGTTTTAAGTTTCAAACGCTCTCTGTACACACTATTTCACTCTACCGACTATATAAATAAACTATTTATTCCTAGAACGAATCAACTATTGGTCTACTACAGCACCTGAACGCGCTTAAATACCCTTACTTCTCTAAAGACTATAAATAAACTAGTAGCATAAATGCATAAAAAGACATAGTAGAAACAAATTTTTGTTCATCAAATTACAATGTACAACGAATATAAACAAATATTTCCCAATCCACATACTTTTTCTTTGTCCTCTGGTACATTTCTGTTGTATTTACTTTGTAGTACAAGTTGCATTGATCTACATTCCGACTGAAGCTGAGAAACAATTGAAGTCACTTACTCACATATTATCCCTCAAGGTTTGGCTAGTAATGGCTCAGCATCCTTGATGAAATCCACTGTCACCATAACTAGACGCTGTACAGCATCTTATACAAGCACTGTCAACGATCTAAAATGGTTTTTATATAGCTTTCTACGTGTTTATCAACTTACTCGTACGGAGCAACCATGCTGTGACAAATGGCGGGCTATGGGTGACTTGAGCGCAGTAAAACAAATCTGCTTGACAATGACCAATATTAATCTGCATTCAGTTGAACTCACACCTGGTATTACTTGCAAAAAATGATGTCAAAATCGTAAAAATTAATCACTCATTTTAAATTAATAACCAATTTGAACATAAAACAAGATACGATGCCGCACACAACAAAGTTGTATGGAGAAATTGACTTCAAGCTTTATTTTTTTCCCAAATATTTGTAATTTATCCGACACGTACTTGGTTTTTTTTGTTAATGCGAAGACAATATTTCTATATTTCTTTATGTGCTGCATTGAACGACTAACTATCAGAATGAGCTCACTAACTGATGTCAGAGAGGACAGCAACCATGTAATTTCACTATAAATCAAATTCATGTAATTTAGATAATACTTATCCATGCCTGTACAACTGGTGTGTCCTACATTGATAGGAAAAAATATTATTATTATATTATTATTAATCCAGACAGCTGTACGACAACGACACATGTCAAGTGATCCACAACGGAAAACTCAGCAAGGCATTTCGAGTAAACACAGGAGTCAGACAAGGGTGCTTATTATCACTAATGATATTCCTAATTGTAGTGGACTGGATTATGTGTCAGACAGTGCGAAACGAGAAGACAGGGATATCCTGCACCGACGTGAAGAATCTAGAAGACCTGGATTTCGCGCGTGGATGATTAATGTTTGATGTCACACAAAATCGAAGACTTACAAGCGAATACCGACAAACCGATCGAAGAAGCAGCAAAGATAGCACTCCAGGTGAACATAGACAAGACGGAGGTTATGAAAATAATCAACCAACCAACAACAACAATTGCAGCAGGAACATCCACCCCCAATCACCATCAACGGGAGGCAATCGATAGAGGTTACTTCATTCACTTATCTAGGGAGCATTGTCTCAACTACACGAGGAACGGACGACGATGTCAAATCGAGAATCGAGAAGGCGAGAAACACATTCATCAACCTCAAACCAATCTGGAAATCTTCCGCTGTCACTCAGCCTGCATCAACAACAAAGTGATTCGGATTTTCAATACAAACGTCAAGTCAGTCAGTTCTTCTATACGGATGGATCAGAAACTTGGCGGCGGGTCACAAAGAATATTTTCAATAGCCTGTTGCAGACCTTTATCAACAACTGTCTTCGCTGGCTCTATACTGAAGATCAGATGGCCGGAAAGAATCACCAACAAGAAACTATGGGAACAAACAAACGAAACAAGAACCAATCGCCAAACAACAAATATGCAGGAGAAAGTGGAGATTGATTGGACACTCGCTGAGGAGGCAGTTGGGTGACATCGCGCGTCAGGCCAGTGCTCGAGTGGAACCCGTAAGGGAAGTGGCGAGTGAGATGTCCACGGGTGACATGGAGGAGATCGTGTGAAGAGGAACTGAAACAGTGTTGAGTAACATGGATGCAGGTGAAAAGTACATCAGAAGACAGAAGCAAGTGGAGACGTGCAGTTGAAGTCGTATGTTCCACTAGGAACCCAAGGGAACAATAATAAGAAAAACTTTAATTTCTCGGTATGCTAAGCTACTATCGCCGTTCTGTTCCGCAATTTTATATTTTCGTTTTCGTTCACAGCTTGATTCCACACAGTACTTTTGGTAGAAGTATGGAATTTTCAGCATGGATATCGGTAGGCCAAATTTTACAGGCCGACCATAGATATCGGGTGTGCGTCGGCAGGTAATCGAACCCCGCACACATTTTGACACCAATGACTTACCTTCTGAAAAGAAAGAGTAAGGCATTTACGTTCACCACCGAAGCTCTCGAATCTTTTAAAACTATTAAGACTGCGATTTCAGACACTGCGATGTTAGTACACCTGGGTGTTAATCTTCTGCTCAGCATTTCAGTTGATACTTCTAACAAAGGCACATGTGCGGTGATGATTGTACACATGTTTTCTCACTCTGCGACGTGGTGCGCAAGGCTTCACAGCCTCCACATGATAAACATTTCAAAGTTTTTAGTAGGAAAGAAAATGTTTCGTTATTGAGAGACATGGCCACCAAGATACTGTAGTCAGTAACAGACTCACGGCGGCATACCTTGAGGGATCCTCACTCTCCACGTCTGCACGCCCGAATACCTCCTCTGAACCTATTCCCAGTTCGGATTCCGCCACTGAACCTCCAGTGATTCATGGTAATTCTCCTGATTCCGCCAGTAAAGCGCCTGTCAGGTTGGCATGTTCACTGGCTCAAGATGTACACAGAATCTTTTCACTGAACCATTTCCTACTTAACATTATTTAATAGTTTTTATTTCTTTTCTCAATGTATGTTAGTCATTTCTCTTTGTATTTACTCTATTAATCTCATTATGGCAGCAGTCATTGTTCCTCGTACTAATCCTCTTGATTTTTCTCGGCACAGGTTACTGATAAAATTGTCAAAAGAAGATAAATTTCCCCGTACTTCCTTCACCAATTACCACAGTTTATCTGAAATCTCACCTAAACCGGTTCGAGATGTTGGTTTTTATTTCGTCTCATGACTCCCATCATTTACGGGACTACAGACGGTGGTACTTTTTCTCTACTCACATAAATAAAAAGAATCAAAAAATTTTACACTTGCCCAAAAAAACTAAAAAGATGAAGAAAAAGGAAAAAACAAGATGTATAAACTCCTTGCTGTGTACAATTGCATGGACCATCGCATATTTTTCTGCCTACACGTCTTACTTCTATTTTGTAATTTCTAAATCCGCTTGATCTATTACTACAGACTTTGCTATGTTCACTCGAGGTTATGACCAGCTGAAACTTAATTATTTTGTGAGTCATACCTGTAAACATTTTCCACCATTTTAGTTATCCAGCGTGCAACATTTTTTCTACTAAATGTATTTACTCATCACTTTTGGTTCTTTTGCCATCTTGCCGTATAACTTTCAAACATTCCCGTGCTGTTGCAAATTTCAGTTGTTCCAATTAAAATTAGAACAAAGCTTTGACGTTTTCGCCATGTTTCCAGGCAGTTGCTAGGCTCTGGCTTTTGTGATAATCTTGAACCAATTTTGGAAACTTGACTTCGCCTTCCATTTCCCTATTCTTCTCTCTTGTATCTTGTTCCTTCTACTACGCTGATATCTTTGCTGTCTTTCATCTTGATCAACGCTCGCTAATGAAGTGGAGGGGTGAAGCATTGGTCAAAGGCGCAACTTAGACCAAACGAATCTCATTCCGTCTACCTCAGCCTGGGCACCGGGGTGGAATCACCAGTTCCCACGCACAACCAGTGTGTGGCACGTAACCCCGTTCTTGCACAGAGCTAAACATAAACAAATATATAAAAATAACTTAAAATCTGTCAAATCGCCCTAGGACAACCAGCGTCTTCAACTTGATCTGGCTAGGAAGCACTTCTGGTTGATATAAGTAGTGAAGAACTACTCATCTCAATCAGTCAGAGGTGTATAGTTTTATGCGAGCAGGGCCTTTACTAGAATTATTAGAGGAATATTTGCCGCCTTATACACATATTCAGTGGGTTCAAAAATTGAAAGCCAACTCCCGGAAGCTAGTTCCTATTTCAAAGAGGACTCATGCATCCTAGAATGAGTCCAGATGAAGGCCATACGTTTGGTTCCTGGTGTCGCAAATCCATTCGACGAGGAACGACTTTAACAGTCTAAATCGCTCCCTCTATCATATATTAGGCAGAGAGATATCTTATCAGTGTATTGAGAATTCCAAGGAACCATCATGACATTGACTTGTTTCCTGTTTACCCTTCCATTATGTCAGAATATCTTATAGGACACTTTAGGAGAGTTCAAAAGACAAGGAGGAAATATACAGTTGTAAAGTACTAGTTCTCTTACTTAGTCATTAGCTTTCAGAATCGACTTCCAAAAGAAGCAATGTCTGCACCCTGATTTGGTATGTTCGAGTAGGGAGTAGCCAAGCAGAGAAACATATCAGAAGATGAATAACGAAAATTTTAATTTGTCATTAATGGGGGTTTTTGAAGTAAGTTTAAATACGGTCTTTTTCACTGACCAGAATCAGTAAGACTGTTATAAAGCAAGCCTTACTATGCATCTCCTACACTGTGTTCCTCACATGGCAATCAGATGTCACAGGCATTATTTTTGTTCGTTTGTATCGACCAAATGTTGTCGTTAATACTGACGCTAAATTGATTGCGGCGTTACGCTTAGGTCTTGAACAATCATGGGTCAGTAAGGTTAGAAAAGTAGGCATAATAATCTCCATTTTGTTCACTTTAATATGCCTAACGTTTCTATTGAAATGCTGAATATCTGTCAAATGAGTATTGAGTTATTCTTTAAGAAATACTCCTAAAAATCACTGTATTAATATAGTAAATGCCACCAGTTTTCATCTAGAAAGGTCGATTCCGTCATGCCTTGCTTGTTTTTGCAGCAAAAATCTTGTACATCTAATTGGCTTACGTTTGATTTATTTAATATGAGATTTTGCAACTCACTTCAACCCGCCGAGGACAATAATATGCGGTAACAGTAAATCAAATATCGATATTGTCAACCTTTTAGTCTGAATCTAAAAAATCCAACGTTCTATGCTAATTATTATTCCTTTGGAAGGCCGTTTATATACTTTATTCACCGGTTTCATGGTCTTGAACATAGTCGGTGGTATTATTCTATTATTTTAGGTCGCTTAACGATGGTCTGGATTGAGTCCATATTAAACATTCAGTGGGTCAGAATGAGAAGTGGATTCTGAAAAAAAACGAAGAAATCATTCCTAATTTCCGGTGAATCTTCAGCCTCTGCATATGTAGGGTTATATTCATATGAAAACGATGTAATCAAAATCTTGAGAGGGGGTTATAATGTTTCTGATCCCACCGAAAATCAGAGAATTGTTGAAAAAAAGACTTCTTAGCTTTCGTTAGTAAATTTTTAACCCGATAGATGAGGGGATGTACTGTTGAAAAGGTCTTCAGGTTAATGTATTATCAGTACTAAAATGTCTGCTTCTCGAAAGTTTTTAAGATTAACCGAAAGTGAGTAGACACGAAGAAGATTAACTCAAGTGAATGACCAGTTAAGTGAATGCCCATTTGTTTAAAACTGGTCAAAAGGGCGTTTATGGGACCGAATGTAAATAAATATATGTATTCAAGAAGTTAGTAGTCTGGCGTGTTATATTTCTTAATTCCTCATAATATTATCCACTAGGATAACTGAATCAATTTCGGTACCATGTTAGCAGTGATTTATGTCATCTCCTTAGAATTCATTTGTTGCTCGGATTCTGTTCCACTGAATTTGTATAAACACGTAATTAGAGAATACAAAATGTAGGTAATAAGCGATTGATGACTTTAATGAACTACATCCATGTACTAATAAATTTGAAATATTCGTGGATAAAACTATGACCATGGTTTGTGAACAACCATCTTGACGACTGATCATTTTGGCCAACATAAAACGTATTTTGACTGGTTATTACTACATTATAAGTATTATGTGAATGTTCACATTTGAACTAAAAGCCGTACGTCTGAATTCCGTACTCCTAATAATGTCAGATATAGTGTTCGAAACATATCCACTTTGCAACTCTTGTGTGGTTCATCGCAATGAAAGGGTTCAAATACTGGCTTCCTACGGTTATCCTGGCTAAACTCAGTGGAGTTGTAGATTATTGGTTTAAGGAAATGACTTTCGTCTCAAGAATTGGTGTTTAAACCATGCCGGAGATACGCTTCACACCACCACGGCAGATAGCTGGCTTCGTGATGCATTGGATGTTGTATTGGAGAACCTTGCGATGTCTCTGGGCTCCTCCTTTGCCTATTCCCTTACCACCTTTACCAAGACCAGACATGATTCAAGAGAGTGACTTGACGAGAACCGACACGAGACCTAAATCAACTTTGCCTTGCTTAACCTAGTAGTATTACAAACCCTTATACGTTAATATGTTTCCCCCCTCCTCGATTAGCAATGTTAGCTGGCATAGTACTAGGTTGGATAAGAGTTAGAGGAGGTCAAACCAAAACCTGTAATCAATCCATTAAGTCTTTGACTTCTCGTATGGCCCACATCCACACCTAGCCTGCCGGACATCCAACACCTCCCTGAATGGGAGATAGACACAGGTCCTCCGTCCTTAACTGAGGTTACTAAAGCTGTCACCAATCTGAAGCTAGGCGAAGTAGCGGTACCTGATTTATTGACTCCAGAGGTATTTAAGTGCGGAGGAGACAGTTTACTGTCTGCGTTAACGGAGGTTCTAGGCAGCGTCTGGGAATCAGAGGAAGTCCCATCGGGTTGGTGTAAGTCACTGATCATCCCAATATACAAGAAGGGGGACAAGTCGTCTTGTGATAATCACAGAGGGATTAGCTTGACTAATATAGTATCTAAAATCCTAGGCTCAATAATACTGCGTAGATTAAGTGGTCCTCGGGAGACACAAACACGAGAAAACCAGGCAGGTTTTAGGCCAGGTAGAGGGTGTATTGATCACATCTTCACCCTTCGACAGATTCTAGAACATAGGCATTCCTACTGGCGTCCGACAATTATTATATTTCTTGACCTAAAGGCGGAATTCGATTCTGTCGACCGGGAGGTTCTCTGGCGATGCTTGGCTGTAAAAGGAATGCCAAGAAAATACATTGCACTGATTAAGGTACTCTACTCGTACTCATGCAGCCAAGTGAGGGCTTATGGCGAGTTGTCATCTGAAGTGGTGACGACTAGTGGCGTCCGTCAAGGATGCCCATTATCCCCATTCCTATTCAATTTCATCATAGACGTACTAATGGACTTAACCCTATCACACTTCAGCGACTCAGGGATTGACTTGCTACCAGGGAATAATCTCGTTGACTTAGAATATGCGGACGATATAGTCCTTCTACTCGAGGACTCTGACAAAATGCAGAGTCTACTGAACACCCTGAGCAACAATCTCCGTATGTTTGGCATGCGATTCGCCCCTGTAAAATGTAAGATGATGCTGCAGGATTGGACTTCATCGACCCCTAGATTAGAAGTAGGAAGTGAAGTGGTAGAACACGTTGACCGCTTCAATTACTTGGGAAGTACCATCAGCCCCAACGGGTTGATCTCAGACGAAATTTCAGCACGAATACAGAGGGCTAGGTTCGCATTCGCCAGTTTTCGCCTTCTCTGGCGTAGACGCGATATCCGACTATCGACCAAAGGGCGTGTGTACTGCTCAACAGTCCGCTCCGTCCTCCTTTATGGCTGTGAGACCTGGCCATTGAGAGCGGAAGACATGAAAAGATGAGCTGTCTTCGATCATAGGTGTCTGCGTTCTATCTCCCGCGTGAAGCGCTATAATAAGGTGCGCAATATTGAGGTTAGGCGTCTAGTGCTAGGTAAGGCGGGGAAATCAATCGACGAGACTGTGAAATTACATCGACTGAGATGGTTAGGACATGTGCTACGTATGCCTAGTCATTGCCTTCCTCGACAATGGGCAATGTTAGCTGATATAGGGCCAGGCTGGAAAAGAGCTAGCGGCGGTCAAACCAAAACATGGCACCAATCAATGAAATCCACTACAGTTAATCTAAGCCACGTAGGAAGATGTAGACTTCCTGGTTGGGGCCCTCGGGATGGTAAAAACCAATGGTTGGAAACAATTGGTGACATGGCTCAAAATCGTTCTCAGTGGCGCAGATGCATCCACTCCTTGTAACTTATGATTTCCAATTAAACAGTTTTGTTCTTCGTCATTACTATTCCTTTGTCTCACACCTCTGTTTACTATCTATATTATGCATTTCTTCTGCTTCCTTCTCTTGCTTTGCGTGCTACATAGATTGTGGCGACTTGGACTGCCGCACATATGTGCAAAGTTCTATGTCGAAAACCGACCGACCGACCGACCGTATGAGCCAAGTAAAAAGGTGTGGGCTTCCTGGCTGGGGTCCTCGAGATGCTAAGGACTAATATTATTATTATTATTGTTCCCTTGGGTTCCTAGTGGAACATAGGGCTTCAACTGCACGTCTCCACTTGCTTCTGTCTTCTGCTGTTCTTTTCACTTGCGTCCATGTTATTCCATACTGTTTCATCTCCTCCTCACACGATCTCCTCCATGTCATCCTTGGACGTCCCACTCGCCGCTTCCCTTTCGGGTTCCACTCGAGGGCTTGACGCGCGATGTCACTCAACGGCCTCCTCAGCGAGTGTCCAATCCATCTCCACTTCCTCCTGCATATTTGTTGGGCAATTGGTTCCTGTTTCGTTTGTTCCCATAGTTTCTTGTTTGTGATTCTTTCTGGCCATCTAATCTTCAGTATGGAGCGAAGACAGTTGTTGATAAAGGTCTGCAACCTGTTGAAAATATTCTTGGTGACCCGCCAAGTTTCTGATCCGTAAAGCAAAATTGACTTGACGTTTGTATTGAAAATCCGAATTTTGTTGTTGATGGTGAGTGACGAAGATTTCCAGATTGGTTTCAGGTTGATGAATGTGTTTCTCGCCTTCCCGATTCTCGATTTGACATTAAGGACTAATAGGTGGAGACTATTGGAGATATGGCTCAAAACCATTGGCACAAAAGTATTCGTTCTCTTTGAATTCCACCAAATTCTCTTGTTTTTTTCAATGTTACTATTCTTCATTACGTAAATTTTTGTTAGTTATGATACTTCAAAATCTCTCTTCTTTCTCTCGGCTTTCTACATTTGTGTGCTATATGGAGTTTAACAGGTTGAATTAGTTCGTTTCTGTGCAAAGTTCCATGTTGAGACTCAATCATTCAGTGTGGTTCTCATCCGACTACATAAATACTGAGTTTTTTTAATCTAGATAATTCATTTTGTTTCGTTATTCATTTATATGTGGGTGACAATAAATGTAGTCTCTTGTGTGAAGGTGGATGATGATGCTGCCTGACTGCCGAAACTTCGGTTTCCTTTAGTTCTTGGAGGAACATAGGGCTTCAGTCGCACGTCTCCATTGTGTTCGGTTCGCCGCAAACGTTTTCACCTGGCTCCACGTCTGCCCACATGCTTTCATCTCCTCTTCTCATGACCTCTTCCATGTCACCCTCTCACCGACGACCAACTCACTGCTTCCTATTCAGGTTCCACTTGAGAGAGAACCTGACATGTGATGTCACTTGATGGTTTGTTTTCTCATAGTATGACCAATCCACCTCCATTTCTTTCTGCATATTTGTTGCACAATTAGTTCCTGCTGGGTTGGTTCGCTCATTGCCAGATATCCCTGTTGCTGGTCTTTTCTGGCCAGCCATCTGATCTTGAGTGGTATTGATCAGAGACAGCTGTTGTTGAAAGTCTGTAATTTGTTCGAAGTGGCCTTTGTGACGCAGCGCAGTGCCAAGTCTCTGATCCGTATAGTGAGTAGCACTGACTTCATATTTGAGTTGAATATCCGCATCTTATTTTTCATGCTGAGTAGTGCTGTTGATCTCCACTTTAGACTTGAGAGTAATGAAAGCTTGCCTTGCTTTCTCGATGATCGTCGGTTTGATGATATCCTCAGGTAGGTAAAAAAACTATAAGAAAAAGAAATCTCACGAAGAAAGAGTACATATACATGGATAGCAATAATAAAAGTTCCATTAATTTGAAAGTTCATTAAGGGGAAATATACATTTGTGCCATTGAGAACAACTTTTTGTGTATTCCAGACAGAAATATTTACGCTGCCATTTGTAAATCCAATTAACAGTGAAAGACTTCATGCATTGAGATATCTCATATTTTTAATTGCGTCGGTGGCATAGCGGTTAGGACGCTCGCCGACCATGCACATTGTCCGGGGTTCGAGCCCCGGCCGACGCACTCCTTTACCTCGCTAACCCAGAAATAATGCTGGTGAAGAGGAAAGGTTGGGCATGCGGCTAGCAACCCCACCTTGTGAAAATAAACACTGCTACGGAAACTTCAAGCCACTAACTTGAAGCCCTATGTTCCACTGAGGAACATGAAGGAAAAAATTTTTTTAATTTGATCATCTCTCCAACTGTTTTCCAACCTAATCATCATACGTTAGCTAGCGTTGACCCACAGTGAAGGAAGCCAATGAAGCTTGGAGAGAACACCAAATAATTTTCATATTTCACTTTATTTTTTGTATACTCCAAATTTTTTCAATTGAAGCTTTTATGTGTCAAAAATAATTATCATAATATTTTCCACCTTTTCCTGTAGGTAATAATAATAATAATTGAACAAAAGAAGTGTAAAAATAAATATCAATGAATTCTCTTAATAAAATGATTTATACGCTCACCATACTACTAATTTTCACTTCAATGCCAAGAGTTTACATTCATTGTAAAAAGTATGAGATCCTATCAGTGCATGCATGTGTTATCATCACTTTTCTTCATATAGATATTTATTTTATGATGTATTCTATGGAGAAGGTTTCAATTTGAGACGTGATGTTTATATACGCGTTGCGAACACTCTACGGTGAGTGTATTACACTTCAGAGATAAACTTTATAACGAGGCTTTCTTGTCATTTCTTTGCCTTCCGTTTGGAATGTAGGATTTTGAAGACTCTGACTTTTGTCAGAGTCACTAGCGGTGTTTATGTTATGCCCGTAGGGTTGCTAGCCTTACCTCTTTCTCCGGATTATCAATGGATAAGCGAGATTTATGGAATGCTTCAGCAGGAGTAATTGATCCCGGACCATGTGTAGTCATTGTACTACTGAACGACTGGCTGGGTACTTTATAGACTAGTGGTAATAATTAATGAATGCATAAGATTAGACAACTGTAACGCAGGTTACATCTCGCATATCGTGCGTCGGTGGCATTGCGGTTAGGATGCTCGCCGACCACCATGCACATGGTCCGGGGTTCTGCCCGCGGCCGACACACTCATCTACCTCGCTAAGCCAGGAATAATGCTGGTAAAGATGAAAGGTTGGGCAAGAGGCTGGCAACCCCATCCTATAAAAATAATCGCCACTGCTACAGAAACTTCAAGCAACTAGCTTGAGGCCCTATGTTCCACTGGGGAACGTGAAGGAAAAAAATATCGTGATAACCCGATGAACTACACTGTCTGGAACGAATGTTCCTGAAGGTTCTATTCAATCGTTTGGATAGCAGTTAGGCTAAAAGCAGTCGTCGTCATCATAGTGTAAGTTGTCTGCTCCATTTTTAACGTCTGACAGCTACATGGCGCTGCTAACAAATAGGGATGTGACAGGCAATAAGCTGTTTTCTTCGGTTGACCAGTTATATGCTGCGGTTAGACAAGATTTATCCTAAGAATTGCACATTTAGACTTATACTGCAGCAGTCCGTAGACATCGTGCCGACACAACTTGAATGACCAGTCAAATCCGCCGGAGTGTGATCGGATCCAAACAATTGTTTGCTGGGCTTTGTAGTCAAGTTTTTACTAGTAAACTTTCTGTTTCAAGAAATCATGCGACTAAGAACCATTGATTAACGAATATCTTTGTTGATATAGGAATGAAAATAAAGACACTGTGTCACCAATTCCTGAAGGGAGTTTCTAATTACTTATCTTATTTAAATTTAGACAACGACACGTGTCAAGTGATCCAAAACGAAAAGCTCAGCTAAGGCTTGGAAGTGGACACAGGAATAAGACAAGACCCCCTGCTTATTATCACCAGCGATGATATTCCTAATTGTGACGGACTGGATTATGCGTCAGACTTTGCGTTGGGAGTGAGAAGACTCTAGAAGATCTGGATTTCGCGCGTGGACGATTTATATTTAATGTGACACACACACACAAAATCGAAGACATGTAGGCGAAAACCAACAAACTGGCTGAAGTGGCTTTCAGGCATTGAAGACAGGACTCCAGGTGAACATAGAGAAGACGGAAGTGATGAAGATAACCAATCAACAGAAACAAAATGCGACCAGTACCAATGACCATCAACGGGGAGAGGTTTGACATAGGTTACTCCCTTCAATTATCCGGCTAGAAAGCATCGTTTCAAATACAGGTGACAGCACGGATGAAGATGTGAAAGCTGGCAAGAATCGGGAAGACAAGATATGCCTTCATCGACCTGAGACGAGTTTCGAAATCTCCTGAACTGTACTCAGTCTCAGCATAAAGAACAAGATTCGGACTTTCAACACAAATGTGAAGTCAGTCAGTCAGTTCTTCTATATAGGTCAGAAACTTGTCCTGAGAGTCATGAAAAGGTTTTCCAACAAGTTACGGACATTCATTAACAGCCGCTTTTTTCTGGCTCCATACTGAAGTTCTGATGGCTCAGTGGCCAGAAAGAATTAGCGACAAGAAACTCTCTGCTGAAACTTACCAACCAACCAACCAAGATCCGATTGTTCAACAAATATACAGAAGAAAATAGAGATAGATTCGACATACTCTGAGGATGCCATCGAATGACATCACGCTCAATGCAGACCATTGCTGGAGTGGAATTTGAATTGGAAGCGACGAGTGGGTCGTCGGTGTGAGGGTAACATGGAGGAGGTCGTGTGGCGAGAAGGAGGGGGAGGAGGAGATGAGAGATTATGAGTAACTGTGTGGGGCTAGCCAGCTGCAAAGGACAGCAGAAAATAGAATAAAGTGTACATGTGTTGTTGAAGCCCCATGTTCCACTTGGAACCCAAGAGAATAATAATAATAATAATAATAAATAACGAACATTCTGTTCGGTACACTAGAGTCAATCTAGCCTCAGGAACAACACCCCAGCCAGTGTGATTTCTATATTCATCTGTTGATTATATCTGCAAATGTTATCGCCTTGAAATTTTAGGTGGATAAATGACTGGCTGGTTTCACTGTAGAACTTTGCACAGATATACATCAGTTCAAGTTGCCACACACACTCTCTCCCTCCTTGTAGCATACAAAGCAAGAGAAGAGAGTAAAGTGAGTATCAAAAGAGAGATAATCAACAGAAGTGTTGAGTGACGGGAAAAAGAATGGTAGTAATATAGAAGAACAATATATTTTTATTGGATATAACAAATGACAAAGGGTGAATGCATTTACGCGCCATTTAGAATGAAGATTTTAGGCCATATAACTGATGGTCTCCTCCAATCGTTGAATGAATACAGGCTTTTAGGTAGGTAGTCACCTGGGGTTCTAGTGAGAAGTCGTGACCAGTAGGGTGCATCAGGTCGGGTGTGAGGACGAATACTCGTCGAAGACATTGGCTAGTGCTATGTCGTGAATTGGCAGAAGTTAGAATTCATGGACTGGCTGGCCATTGGATTGGGTACCAGTGGCTGCTGAATGGTCTACGAGCTCGGTGGCCTTGTAACCAGAAGGTCCTGGGTTCGAACCCTGTCGGTGGGTGCGCACTACTGAAGAGTCCCAAACTAGGACGAAACAGTTGTCCAGTACTCCCTGTAGGTTTTCCAATGGTTCTCTAACCAATGTCAGCTCATGATGAAATCCTCTAACAGGCTTTTTTGTTTTAATATTTTATGATTACTGATTTTATTAATTCTACTTTTTTGTTGTTGTTGCTGCTGTTGTTATTGTCTCTCCCCCTCTTGATTAATTAATTAATTGAATAACCAACTATAATTTGTATCAGTCTGCTAAGACATCCAAATCAAATACCTGAATATGCCTTAAATAATATGAATATAAAAAATTTAACTGGAGATGATTGGATACTTGTTCTACCCCCATGGGGTCCATTACCTCATTGGTTCAATGATAGACTATATGATAAATATCCTAATTATAATGCCTTCAATTGGTCTGCAGTTCCATGGTCAAGATTTTTTGATTTAAAAAGTCTTTCAATGTTTATACCAGTTATGGATTTAATTGAATTTCAACAGAATAGTAAGTTGGTATTTTTCATTAATAATATTATTATTATTACAATGGTGATAGCTCATTTTATTGTTTCTTGACGATTTTTTTACGACTGGTATTTAAAAAAATACTTTTTGCTCTCTGAATGCAACACATTTATATCACTATATTATTTTCCTCTTGGGTTCCTAGTGGAACATAGGGCTTCAACTGCACGTTTTTCACTTGTTGCTGTCTTCTGCTGTACTTTTCACCTGCATCCATGTTAATCCATACTGTTTCAGCTCCTCTCCACATGATCTCCTCCATGTTACCCTTGGACGTCCCACTCGCCGCTTCCCTTTCGGGTTCCAATCGAGCTATGGTGTGACTCGCGATGTCACCCAGCGGCCTCCTCAGCCAGTGAGTGTCCAATCCATCTCCACTTTCTCCTGCATATTTGTTGGGCGATTGGTTCTTGTTTTGTTTGTTCCCATAGTTTCTTGTTGGTTCTTGTTCTTTCCGGCCATCTGATCTTGAGCATAGAGCCAGCGAAGACAGTTGTTGATAAAGGTCTGCAACAGGCTGTTGGAAATATTCTTTGCGACCCGCCGCCAAGTTTCTGATCCATCCGTATAGAAGAACTGACTGACTTGACGTTTGTATTGAAAATCCGAATTTTACCCGAATAAGATAAGAAATCTAGAGAACAGTTCAGCTATAGCACTACATGCAGTCACACACAACCATCAAATAGGATGGATGGGATAGGATGACAGTTTTAAAATCTAATGTTACAGGCTGGAGGGAGAGATTGATAACAGAAGCTTTGTTTATCGAATCAGCTACAAATACATGTAATAGGAATGATTCATCACCTGTCCCAGATATCTGGAAAATTCTACTACCCCAAAGACGATAAATAGGAGAAGACAAAGAAAACTATAAAACTCAAGTTTCAAAGTCGTGTGATTACAGTTGATATAATTATGAACCACAATAAATTGTGTTCGAAACCTTGTCATCCAGTAAATAATACTGTTTCACTCGCTGTGTGATATATCTAATAAACAAACTAATATGGAATTACTTACTACCACAGTGCCCAAGTTTTACACATATATTGAAAATCCGAATTTTGTTGTTGATGCTGAGTGACGAAGATTTCCAGATTGGTTTCAGGTTGATGAATGTGTTTCTCGCCTTCCCGATTCTCGATTTGACATCCTCGTCTGTTCCTCGTGTAGTTGAGACAATGCTCTATAGATAAGTGAATGAAGTAACCTCTTTCAAATGCCTCTCGTTGATGGTGATTGGCGCTGGATGTTGCTCCTATTGTTGTTGTTGTTGTTGGCTGGTTATTTTCATAATCTCCGTCTTGCCTATGTTCATGTGGAATGCTGTGTTTGCTGCTTCTTCGACCAGTTTGTCGGTTTTCGCTTGTAAGTCTTCGATTTTGTGTGACATCAAACATAAATCATCCATGCGCGAAATCCAGGTCTTCTAGGTTCTTCACGTCGGTCCAGGATATCCCTGTCTTCTGGTTCCGCACTGTCTGACGCATAATCCAGTGCACCACAATTAGGAATATCATTGGTAATAATAAGCACCCTTGTGTTTACTCCAAACGCCTCACTGAGTTTTCCGTTTTGGATGATTTGACATGTGCCGTTGTCGTACAGCTGTTGATTAAGGTTGATGAATATTTGGGGTACGCCGTAGTACTTGAGTAGTTTCCAAATTACTTCGCGGTCAACACTGTCGAAGACCTTCTCTAAGTCTATGAAGTTGAGGTAGAGGTTTGATTGCCATTCTATGCTTTGTTCGATGATGATGGGCTTGGGACCGGCTCGAAAACTAGCGAGCTAGAAATCTAGGCGAGGTTGAATGCAACACATACGGCTTTACTATTCGGCTGTGAAGTGTCTTTAACAGTGGTGAAGTTTCTAGCCTCGTACCTAACCTTCCTTGTTTACTGGGCTTTTACTACTGACTAGGTGAGGTCCAAGAGTTCGAATTCTGCACCATCTGGATGGCGCACGTGGTGGTCCATGGTTGGTAATAAGGAAATAAAATTAATATAAGTATAGAACTTTGGCACATTGGGTAGAATGTAATTCTATATTAGATAAGTTTTATTTTTAAATATCATACAGTGATGCAGTTATTTAGCACGCATCTTGTCGCTTCCTACTCGGGTTCCACTTGATCGACCTGCTTCGAGTGTGGGATACCATTCATTCAACGGTCTTCTCAGTCTGCATTCAATCTATTCATCTCCGTTTCTTTTAGAATCAGATTATAGTTGTTTTTTTGCTTGATAGAGTTTCTTTTTGCTTATGCCCCCCTACTAGTGGTCGGCCAACTGATATATTCAGGATTCAGGACGAAGGCGTACCTGTTGAGATGAAAATCTGCAGCTTCGACATTTTATCTTGATGTTATGCTGTTGGATAGTGTGGATAGCGTATCTTGGATTCCACTGCTCTGGTTATTATCAATAGAAAATAAGAGTGAATTATTGAATTCTGTATTTCTCTGTCTGTCTGTCTGTCTGTCTGTCTATCTATCAGGATTCAACATAGAACTTGGCATCGAAGTGCAGCAGTTCGAGTTGCCACGTTCCAAATAGCACACAAAGGTAGACAAGAAAATGAGTGATGAAGAGAATCAATAGAGTTTCGACAAGTATAAGAGTGAAACAGAATGAGTAATGGTAGAAAGGAATATGAAAGATTACAGAGACTGAATACATCCGCATAAGCCATTGACAACGATTTCGAGCCATGTCACCTATTGTCTCCAGCCATTGATTCTTAGAGTCCCGAGGACGGGTCCCAACCCGGAAGTCTGCATCTCCCTACCTGACTGACTCAGTTTAACTGTCAGGGATTTCATGGATTGATGAGGCCATGTTTTTGTTTGGCCACCACTTACTCTTTTCCAACCAACCTGCACCTATATCAGCTAGTAATGCCCGTCAGGAGGGGGAGACGATGGTTAGGCATGCGCAGCACGTGACCTAGCCATCTCAATCTATGTAACTTTATAGCCTCTTCGATTGATTTTCCCTCTCTGCCCAACACTCTACGCCTAACGTGAACATTACTTACCTTATTATGCCACCTAACGTGAGAAAGAGATCGTAAACATCTATGTCACGCCTACGGCAGAGATGGCGTAAGTTAGCGAAAGCAGCTCGAGCTTTTTGGATCCGTGCTGAGATTTCGTCGCCAATCAGTCCGTTGATGCTGATACAACTTCCCAGATTGGTGAACTGGTCAACATTTTCTATCACTTCACTCCGTATCACTAAGCTAGGAGTTGACGTAGTCCAGTCCTGTAGCAAAATCTTACATTTTACAGAGGGCGAATCGTATGCCAAACATACGAAGATTGCTGCTCAAGGTGTTCAGATGACTCTGCATTTTGTCAGCATCCTCCCCTAACAGGACTATGTCGTCTGCATATTCTAAGTCCATAAGACTATTCCTTGGTAACAAGTCGATTCCTAAGTCGTTAAGTTCAGTTAAGGATACTTCCATTAGCATATCTATGATGAAGTTAAACAGAAATTGGGAAAGTGGACTTCCTTGACGGACACCACTGGTTGTTATTCTATATTTGTACGGAAATTCAAACAAAGTAAAAGCAGATAGTTCTACAGAATACTTAGTTTAACATCCTATCTGACTGAGTGGATAATGATCAGGAAAGCTTTGTTTGCTCATAGAAGTCTGTGGGCGGTTATTATTTCTTGACTATCCAGACCTAGAGTACCTGAAACAAAAGAGGCATTAGTGTTCCGTGACCACAGAGCTCAGGAGACAAGTGTTTGAAAGCCAGCCACACACTGCCTGTTTAATTCCATATTAGTTTGTTTATTAGATGTATCACACAGCGAGTGAAACAGTATTATTTACTGGATAACGTTCCGAACAAAATTTATTGTGGTTCATAATCATATCAATTTTAATCACACGACTTTGAAACTTGAGTTTTATAGTTTTCTTTGTCTTCTCCTATTTGTCGTAGGGGTGGTAGAATTTTCCAGATATCCTGGTGGACAGGTGATGAATCATTCCTATTATATGTGTTAGCAGTTGATTCGATAAACAAAGCTTCTGTTATCAATCTCCCCCTCCCTCCACCTTGTGACATTAGATTTTAAAACTGTTATTCTATCCCATCCATCCTATTGTATGTTTGTGTGTAACTGCATGCAGTGAGTGCTATAGCTGAACTATTCTCTAGATTTCTTATCTTATTCGAGTCAACCAATCTAGATATTGTTAGGTTTTTATGCTGCTCAGATAGTCTGAGTGCACCTGTTCTACTAGTTTGACCTATGTATTTCACCTGACAGTCATCGCAGGCAGGGTATTAGATAAACTTAATTGTTTTGTTTTGAAGGCTCCACAGGATTGATCCTTTAACCGACAAAGCTTGTTTCTAATTGAGTTTGTGGTTGGTTTGAATACCAGCCACTCTTATTCCTGCATTGTTAAGAATTCTGCGTAATATTTCCGAGGTTCCTTGTATGTAATTACTACTGATGATTTAGATTCCTGATAGTTGGTGTCATTATTAATAGTATTATTATTCAGACCTCTAAAATAGTGTGAGCAACTTAACCGTTATCCAAGCGACGTTAACAGCATAGCAGGACCTGAAAAAACATTAATCCCAGTCATTATGGCTTGTTAGATCATTGCAATATACAAGCCCAAACACTCCGTCAAGGTATTAGCTATCGATCGGGGAGTTTGAATTCACTATGTCTTTTCGTATTCTCTCCAGTTTTCTCCGATTAGCTTGTCTGGTGGTGCTCAACCAGCTGAACACGCTTTCATCTCCTCTTCACATCACCTCCTCCAAGTCACCCCACCTTCGCACTGACGACCAACTCTCCGCTTCCTTTTCGGGTTCCACTCGAGCGATGGCTTGTCTAGTGATATCACTTGATGGTTTGTTTCCTCAGAGTATGGCCAGCCAATCCATCTCCATTTGTTCCTGCCTATTTGTTTCACAATCGGTTCCTGATGGGTTGGTTCGCTCCCAGAGATCGCTGTTGCTGATCTTCAATGTCCTGCCATCTGATCTTGAGTGGTATTGAGCGAAGACAACTGTTCATGAAGGTGTGTAGTTTGTTTGAGATGCTCTTTATGACGCGCAGTGCAAGTCTCTGATCCGTATAGTGAGTAGCACTGACTGACTTCACATTGGAGTTGAGAATCCGGATGTTATTTTTGATGCTGAGTAGTGCTGTTGACCTCCACACAGACTTGAGAGTAGTGAAAGCTTGTCTTGCTTTTCCGATTCTTGCTTTGATATCCTCGTCAGTTCCATCCGCCTGTAGTTGAAACGATGCTTTCCAGGTAGGTGGTAGAGGAGGTTGTTTCTTTCAGGTTCCTTCCATTCATGCCGGCTGATTGTTGTCTGTTGATGGTGTTGGCCAGTAATCTTCATTACCTCTGTTTTCTCTGTGTTCATCTGAAGGAAGTCCTATTTTTGATGCTTCTTCTGCCAACTTGTTGCTTTTCGCTTGCATATCTTCTAATTTGTGGGAAATCAGACATTTATCACATCGGTGAAGTCTAGATCCTGTAAGTGTTTTTCTGTGAGTCCATTTTATGCCTGTTTCCTCATTGCCCGCTCTTTGTCGCATTATCCAATCTACTGCAATCATACTTACTATAGGCGAGTAAAATTGCCGAGGTTTAGGAAGAGTATATCGAGTGAGGATCGAACTCCGGACCACGTGCTGTGTAGTCGGCGAGCAATCCACCACTCGCACCATCAATACGTGAATTTAGTTACAGAAAGTTTTTAAAAATTCGTTCATGTAACACAATATATTTTTACGAATGTGTTATATTGTGATTGAAATTAACTAGTGCAGAACATTAGACAGTATTAGGCGCTATCCCGTTTTTTCATACATTTGGTTCCCTTGATAAATTTCGATAGAAGAAAGAAAGACCAGATTTGCAGTATATAAAATGGCATCATCATTCTATTTCACAGGTTCTCATCAGCTGCTGCACACCCCTGCCTGAAATTACAGCGGTTATAAATAATGACGTTTCATACTTCAATGTTTGAAAGGTAATAGTGAAAACATTATAAGATGAACGCATCCGGAATATAAGTATTACAATTTTTAGTTTACGTCACCATCAATTTATATGATATCAAACTATGAAGAAAGTGGGAGAAGACAGAAAACAGAAAAATCTAATAAACAGTGTTAGCTTGTACATCAACATGGCAACTCAAGAAGGTAAAAGTTCATCAAATTGAAAACCTACTTAGTGAGTTGAGCCCACTAGTGTGTATGACTAATCAATGTAATGAAAGTGATATGGTTACCAAGGGAGTGAGAGATTGACTACGCTCTCTCTCTGTCTATGTGCATAAGTTTGGTCTGAGACGTTTGATTGCTGCAGTTGCTTCAGCAGTAAATCGTAGTAGATTCACTGTCATTTGTATGTTTAATATTTTGAAGGATTTGGAAATCTCGACGAAATGACCCGTATCCACAAGGTGTCTGGTAATTGCACTTTGTAAATATCTGAATCATTTTAAGCATAAGTTTCTTGGGATATGCTCTGAAAACCGGATAGAAGCCTTTCTTACTATCCTACCAATGTACATGCTGAAGTAGGTTTGAGGGCAATATATAAATTGATGGTGACTTAAACCATCACTACAGGTTTTGAAGTAACCAGGGTTCCTCAGCTTTTTGAGGTAGACTACTAAACTCATTAATCCGGTTGTGTACACCCTAGATGTTCGCATTCGATTTTTCACTTTTACTGAGAAACATCTCCGTCACATGGGGAGCCAGTGAGTTGGACTTAACTGGAAGGGGCTTATAAAAACACGTGACTATATGATGAGAGCGTTTTCTGAGGAGTAGATTGAATTTCATCCACCCTCAGCTGTACCAGATAGGTTTGCAGGTAGACGGGGGGGGGGACTGGTTTTTGGTTATCGATTTTTGTTTGGATTTTTTTTTAAAAATATTTTACGAATAATTCACTAATAGAACCTTGAGCTAAATGTTTTTTGTTTTTGTTGTCTTCTTGAATGAAAAATCCTTCCTGTCTAGTTATAAATTCAACCACGTTGAACAAATTATCTAATCCTTCATCGTTGGAAATTGATTTAGCTCTTCAATTAGTAAGGGAAACATATGATACAATAAAACATCATTCAAATAATGAACGTAAAGTTGACTATTGTCCAAATGAAATACGTGAATTGTATTCATCAGATGTAAGTGAATCTGATTTTAGTATTTTTATTGAATTTTATTCTTATTCAAGTGTTGGTTTGCAGAGATTTGATTGGTTGATTGATTGGCTGCAAGAATTCCTAATGAGCTGCTGACATCGGTTAGAGTGAGTGACACAGAGAGAGAGAGGACCATTGGAAAGTTACCGAGGACTACTGGACAACCAGCTGTGTTTTGTCAGCCTAGTTTGAGACTCTCCGACAGTACGCAACCACCCACTGGGATTCGAACCCAGGGCCTTCCGATTTCAAGGTGAGCTCATGGACCATTCATCAGCCACTGGGAAGCGATCTAATAATGGCGTCAGTCCATGAATTCCAATTTCTGTCAATTTTTTTCCTTCACGTTCCCCAGTGGAACATAGGGCTTCAAGCTAGTGGCTTGAAGTTTCTGTAGCAGTGATTATTTAACAGGATGGGGTTGCTAGCCTCATGCCCAACCTTTCCTCTTCACCACCATTATTATTTCTGGCTTAACGAGGTAAAGGAGTGCGTTGGCGGGGGATCGAACCCCGAACCATGTGCATGGTGGTCGGCGAGCGTCCTGACCACTATACCACCGACGCCTGCCAATTTAAGATATGTATACAATAGAGAAGATTTGTAGCTCAGGTGGATGATTTTGGTGTGGTTGTGTTCTCTGAGCTGGATGGTTTGGTTGCGAAGCTTTCATTGCTCTACTGAGCAACATCTTCAGCGCATACTTCGATGTGAAGTGAGCTTTTAGAATGACTAATAAACTCATAGAGAATTCTAAAAGCTCACTTCACATCGAAGTATGCGCTGAAGATGTTGCTCAGTAGAGCAATGAAAGCTTCGCAACCAAACCATCCAGCTCAGATAACACAACCACACTAAGATATGTATACATATATAGTGCGATTAGCACTAGCCAATGTCATTGGTAGTGGTGGTGGTTGTGAGTATTTGTCCTCACACTTAACCTTCTGTCTTTTGTTTTTTTTTCAATTTTTATTTGTATTGGATCATTAACGGAAGAAATCTTCATCACTTACACGACCAGAGAAGTATTGTCTCAACTACATTGGGGTGTGTGGTGTAAGTGTGAATATCACAGTCATAGAGGATAAAGTAATCGGTTGTGCTGTGATCTATAGAATATAGCAAAAGGAATAAGATCTAAATTTTCGACACCGATGACATATCAATGCTGCTTCTGTATAATATGGCTAAGAGACTTGGTATACGTCACAGACTTCTGTCAACTAACTTTCCTCAACACTTCCCTTACCGGCAAAGTTCTACAATAGAGTCCCGAGGGATGCGAACGCACGAGTGACCTTGAGTCGACCAATCAGAAAAATGGGGCATGTTTGCATAAAAATTTACGTATATTTACATAAAAAAGCATGAAAAAACATTAAACAGGGTATTTTTGTCAAATATGAGATAAAAAATCTCCTAATTATGATGAGGGGTTTCACTTTTTAAATTAAACCAATTTCTATACATATATTTATCCAGATGACTGAAAATAACTTGGTTTTGAGATCCATTGATAGCTCTGATTCTATTTTTTAGTCTTCCCCAGAAACCTTCGATTGAACTGGTATGAGTACCGGTTCTGGGGTCGACGAAGTCATCCGAATGGTTGACTCGATGATGTATATATCCCACTTGCGATAATCGGTTATATCCTGCCCATTCATCCGTGTGAATGGTAGTACCTGGCAAGGCGAGTCTCTGGATAATTGGGAGAAGAGTGTCAGCACTCCTATCTGGAATAAGTTCAATAAATCCTTTTCGAATTTGGGTGTCGTAAATCCCCAATACCCGAACGTTATTTGCTCTAGCACTTCCCCGATTATATTTCTTCTTAATAAGGACCATTCCGTCGATATGAACCACAACGCCGACTCCTCCCAAAACTTGTGTAATACTGTTCATTTACCATGACGCCAAATCTCGACAAAATTGCACAGTAGACGTCAATGTATTATCTGTTTGTGCGGCACTTGATCTCACACCGGACTTCAAAATCCAGTAATGGCACAGAAACAGGATATTGGTCAAAGACAGTTTCGACTTTTCAAAGAAAGTTCCTAGAAGACAATTAACCGAGTGTCACTTACCAGTACGCATACTTATTCGCTTCCTACACTGTGTACATCTGAATACATATCCGTCAGTGACCTGGGTATACGACTGGAGGTTCATGGAAGCACCACAACTACATATCCGAGTACGTCCTATCAATCCATTATCTAAGCAGCACTGGAAAACGTGATCTGGATGGAATTTGCATCTGAGCTCATGAACAGCGTTCATTTTAGCGCTAGAATAATGGTAAGTTTCCTCAACCAACGACTGGCAAGCGTTCAAGGTCATTTGAGCGTTCGCACTCCTGGGACTCTATTCTTGTACTTCGCCCCCTTACCTTGACATTGAGGGTCAGATAGCCGATCTGAAGGAATAGGTAGTAAAGAGCTTCGGCGACGGATCAACCAAGAATTTATCGCCAGACAAATATACAGAAAGAAATCGAGATGGACTAGATTAGATATATGCTGAGGAGGAGATCGTTGAGGTACACCACATGCACACACATCTCCAGGAAGGTCGTCGAGTGGAGTTTGAGTGGGCAACAACAAAATAGATGTGTGGTTCCGAGGGTGACATGGAGAGGAAATCATGTGAAGAAGAAATATAAGCTCTGAGATAATCGTTGGGTCAGCTAAAAACAGACAGACCACAGAGAACCTAATCCAATGGGGGCTTTTATGTTCCACTCGAAATCCTTGCGACGATGAATAACATCAAATAAAGTATAATTATATTTTAATAGTTTACACACAATGATAAGTTTTGTTATTGGTAATATTTCGAGCAAAATTACCAATAAAAAAACTTATCATTGTGTGTAAACTATTAAAATATAATTATACTTTATTTGATCTAATCCACAATGCTCAAACTTTTTACTGATGAATAACATATTATTACTTGTATTGTTACAACAGAAGACAAGGGCCAGGCAACAGATCGTTTATTTAGGAAATCAATAGATATTTATAGATTTCCATGTACATTATTATAGATTATTTTAAGCAAACAAACACAGTCTTCTGATTGGTGGTTTCTCGCTGAAATTTAATCTTTCATCTCTTTGTGGCCGTTTAATTGAAGTTCAGATTATCTATCTGCAAATTGTATCCGCCTTCGCAAAGTCTGCTGTGATAGGTTTTTGAGTTAGCCTTTGTTCTTGTTGTTTTCTCATGACCAATATTGGAGACGTAAACCTTGACGTAAATTTCTGCTGTCTACCAATTTTGGCTAGCAGACAGCTCTCACCACAGTATTATTATGTTTCCCTGGGATTTCGAGTGGAACATAGGGCATCAACAACACATATCTATTTCTCCCTGTTCTTTGAAGTCCCTTTTAGTTAGCTCCATGATCGCTTGTAAGCTTTCAGCAGCTCCTCACACGATTTCCTCCATGTGTGTCACCCTTGGATCCAATAACCAACTTGTTTACCATTCGGGTTCCACCTGAGCAATGGCCTGGGGCGCAATGTTACATATTATTATTATTATTGTTTCCTTTAATTCCTAGAGGAACATAGGGCTTCAGCCGTGCGTCTCCATTCCGTTCGGTTCTCTGCTAGAGTATTCACCTGGCTCCAAGTCTGTCCACACGTTTTCATCTCCTCTTCACATGACCTCCTCCAAGTCACCCCACCTTCGCACTGACGACCAACTCGCCGCTTCCCTTTCGGGTTCCACTCGAGCAATGGCTTGTCTAGTGATGTCACTTGATGGTTGGTTTCCTCAGAGTATGGCCAGCCAATCCATCTCCATTTCTTCCTGCCTATTTGTTTCACAATCGGTTCCTGCTGGGATGGTTCGCTCCCAGAGATCCCTATTGCTGATCTTTTCTCGCCGGCTGGCCATCTGATCTTGAGTATTGAGCGAAGACAACTGTTAATGAAGGTGTGTAGTTTGTTTGAGATGCTCTTTATGACGCGCAGTGCAAGTCTCTGATCCGTATAGTGAGTAGCACTGACTGACTTCACATTGGAGTTGAGAATCCGGATCTTATTTTTCATTTTGAGTAGTGCTGTTGACCTCCACACAGACTTGAGAGTAATGAAGGCTTGTCTGGCTTTTTCGATTCTTGCTTTGATATCCTCGTCAGTTCCGTCTGCCTGTAGTTGAAACGATGCTTCCCAGGTATGTGGTAGAGGAGGTTGTTTCTTTCAGGTTCCTCCCATTTATGCTGGCTGATTGTTGTCTGTTGTTGTTGTTGCTGTTGGTGGTGTTAGCCAGGAATCTTCATTACCTCTGTTTTCTCTATGTTCACCTGAGGGATTATCTTCTCTGGATGCTTCTTCTGCCAACTTGTGGCTTTTCGCTTGCATATCTTCCAGTTTGTGGGAAATCAGACATTTATCACATCGGCGAAGTCCAGATCCTCCAAGTTGGTTTTTTGTGTGAGTCTATTTTATGCCTGTTTCCTCATTGCTCGCCACTGTTTGTCGCATTATCCAATCTACTGCAATCAGGAAAATCATTGGCGATAGTAGGCAGCCTTGTCTTACTCCTGTCCTCAATTCGAAGGATTCCGTAAGTTTCCCGTTGTGGATTACTTGGCATGCAGTATTGTCGTACAGCTGTTGGATGAGATGTATAATTATCGGTGGCACCCCTTGGTAGTAGCGAAGTAGTTTCCAAATCACCTCTCGATCGACGCTGTCGAAGGCCTTTTCAAAGTCGATGAAGTTGAGATAGAGAGGTGACCGCCATTCCAAGCCTTGTTCAATGATGATCCGTAATGTGGCGAAGGCAGCTGTTAATAGGAGTCTGCATTGGTCTGTTCGAAATGCTTTTGCTGATGCGTGTACTCAGTTTCTGACCCATATGGACGAAGAATTAACTTGATTTCGGTGTTGAAAATCTGAATTGCGTTCATCTGTTTTGTATTTCTCCATTGATTAATTATTTTTATTATTATATACTGATATACTCTGTCTCTGTGTTCTACACGTGGGCTACCTAGCAAAGATGTTGGTATTCTATGGTTGGAGGCAATCAGCAAGAAGCCTTGGATCTAGGTTTCGGCCTAGTTGGCACTCACCAACCTCAAGGCAGCTTATCTTCCTTCTGAGATTCAAACCCACTTCACCTAGTGCTGCTACAGTCAGAGATGCTACCACTGATCTAGCTATTCGGGCTCTCGATTCACCTCCTGTAGAGGACTGACTGTATTGGATATTTTTCTTGATTGGACACTAGTCATTATCCTAGTGTAATATGTCTTGTCCTACTTTTGGTGGAGACTGAATTCTATCAACTAAAACTAGGAAAATTCCACAATAATTGAGCATCATTAGAACCTAGATGGCCAAGGTAAGGATAATGTCTGAACTAACTTCTTTTGGATGCACAAATTAGGCTTGTTAATATGGATCCCAATAACCAGCCTCAGCAATATTTAGAAATCGAACTCTTAAGGCGAAATTGAGATTTGTTGGTATGCGGTAAATGACCCTGAAAGCCTGGTTAACATCAATCTTGTGTTCTGTATCCACAAGATGAGATAGAATAGCGCTACTTAACCAACCATACAGGGTGATGTTCGGAAATCCGACAATAAACACGCCTAACTGTACGGCCTATGCAACTAACTGGCTCACTCTGCAGGAGCTGTTAAATTGGTAGATACACATAGAAGAGGCAAAATTAGGTAGTTTGTCTTTTACTCCCGAACACGAACATGAATTCCTTCAAGGTTGTAGATATACCTTGTTGGCTGGTGAATGCCAACTAGCACGAGAACTAGGTCCAAGTCTTCTTATCGATTGCCTCCAACCACCTAACATATCAACAATTCACTGTGCAACGTGTTCGCGAGCTACCTAGTGGTATGGTGGCCACATTGCAAATACCTGACTGACGACAGAATTCAGTCTGCACGAAAGATAGGATTAGACGCATTACACACTAGTTACTGACTAGTGAAAAAAAACTAGTACAGATGTTTCAACAATGTTCGAAGACAATTATAATGTTATTTTGGTCTTAAAAGTGGGATCTAAGACATAAGTTTCATCTTGTTTTGCATCTGTGAGTTGCTGAGTGTATCTGCATTGTCTGTAGGAGGTATTGTACTACTACTGGGACTCGAACCTATTGTTTCAAACGCGAAATATTTATTAAAATCTCTGTCTTAAGGACAATTTCAATTGATACATCAGTTCAAGAGAAAACTACACAATGAAATCAACCAAACAATCTGAACCTCCCTACACACATAACTGACTCAAACTAAAATTCAAAAAGGCTGAGTGGATTGAAGGCATGTTTTTTTTTTTATTTTTGACCATGCCTCCCTACCCCAACTCCCCATTCGTCTATGACTGTTTTCTAACCTACTCTCATAACTGTTAACATTGCTCGTCAAGATAGGCAATGGCTCGGCTGTATGTATGCGTATCATGTGACCTAGAGATCTCAATCGATGAAGATGTTAAAGCTGGCCAGCCAGAATTGGAAAGGCAAGATACGCCTTTATCAACGTGAAATCAGTTTAATAATCTTCTGGACTGCACTCAGCCCCTCAGCGTAATGAACAAGATTCGGATTTTCAACTCAAATGTCAAGTCGATCCTTCCATACAGGTTAGGAACTTGGTCAGCGTGTCACGAAAAGGATTCCCAACAGCCTGTTGCAGACTTTCATCAACAGCTGCCTTCTCTGGCTCCATACTGAAGATATCAAATGGCCAGCGAGAAAGAATAAGTAACAAGAAACTCTGCAGTGGAACAAGAGCCGATCGCTCAACAAATATGTAAGAGAAAATAGAGATAGATTGGGTATACGATGAGAAGGCTATCGGATGATATCGTGCGCAACGCAATCCATAGCTGGAGTGAACTCCGAATGGGTCGTTGGTGTGTGAGGGTGACATGGAGGAGGAGAGGGAGATGAGAGATTATTGGCAATCGTGTAGCTATCCAGATGAAGAGGACAGCAGAAAATAGATAGAAGAAAGTGTAAATGTGTTATTCAAGCCCCATGTTCCATTCGGAATCCAAGGGAATAATAATAATCATAATCTCTCAGCTCCATTGAAGAACCGTCTCCCATACTGATCATAACGAGGTGATAATTGAATGTAAACTGGAAAAAGAAACACAACTTGAATCACCGCTATCAACCAAGGGACGTGTGTACTGCTCAGCAGTTCGCTCCGTCCTTCTCTATGCCTCTGAAACATGGCCAATACGAGTTGAAGACATGAAAAGGTTGACTGTTTCTGATCATAGATGTCTACGATCTCCCTCTCACGTTAGGTGGTATAATAAGGTGGTAACTAATGTTGATGTTAGGTGTAGAGTGTTGGGCAAAGAGGGAAATTCAATCGATGAGGCCATAAAGTTACATAGGTTGACATGGCTAGGTCACGTGCTGCGCATGCGTAACCATCGCCTCCCCCGACGGACGGGCATTACTAGCTGATATAGGTGCAGGTTGATTGGAAAAGAGTAAGTGGTGGCCAAACAAAAACATGGCACCAATCAATCCATGAAATCCTTGACAGTTGAATTGAGTCAGGTAGCGAGATTCAGACTTCCGGGTTGGGGCCCGCCCTCGGGACTCTGAGAATCAATGGCTGGAGACAATAGGTGACATGGCTCAAAATCGTTGTCAATGGCTTACGCAGATGTATTCAGTCTCTGTAATATTCAGTCTCATATTCCTTTCTACCACTACTCATTCTGTTTCACTCTTATGCTTGTCAAAACTCTATTGATTCTCTTCATCACTCATCTTCTTGTCTACCTTTGTGTGCTATTTGGAAGGTGGCAACTGGAACTGCTGCACTTTGGTGCCAATTTCTATGTTGAATCCAGACAGAGACTTGAATCACCCTGGGATTCGAATCAGAATCCTCTGAGTTGAACTACAAGACCACCTACCTGTTAACCTAATCACAATTTAACTTCAGTCATAAAAGAATTTTTCGTTTTAATTCTCATGCACAACAATCTTTTGTTATTCTCTATATGTGTGAATGCATAAAATAATAATAATAATAGTAGTATGAAATGCAATTAAAACTAAAATGTTTGTGATTATAATCATAGTTAAATGTCAAGCGGCAAAACAATTAATGTCACATATATAGAATAATTCTTAGGATGTATAGAACTTGGAAGGGCTGTGCAATTATAGGATTAGTAGATAAATCAAATCAAATAAAAATAAAAACGTTATTTAACATTGTGTGGAATTTGTTAACTTAGAATTTAATGTTGCGAAACAAAATTGATTTAGAATGACAAGTGGAACATGTGAAATAATACCCGGGGACAGTTCAAAGTGAGAATAATAATAGTACTAACATTTACCGTAATAAAAGAAGAGTATACAAATTGAATAGACAAAATGAAAAAATTGGTAGAGCCAAAATATGAAATGGGGATTATCATACTTTATTGGCATAGAGGGATTAAGAACATGAGATGAAAGTTGGAGGGGGGGGGGTTTGAACGAACTTTTTCTGTATACAGAGATCTGGCTTTTCTGTTTCGATAGTCAAAGATGGCTTCAGCAATACAGATGAGTCGGGCAAAAACTGTAGAAAAGAAAAAAAAGTGTTTATTTGTCTCCCATTCAAAGGAGATACAGCGTCACAAAACAGCTGTCCAGTATTCCCTGCAGGTTTTCCAGTGGTTCTCTAACTGATGTCAGCTCATGATGATGAAATCCTCCATGCAATCAAACAAAATCCCTACAAAAACCAATACTTGAAAACTAAAAGAATATATCTTTATTTATTGGTAGTTTTTTTGAAACTTTTCCTCATATATATATGTATAAAGAATATTGTTTTTTCTATTTTTTGTCTTGGCTATGTTTGAACGATCAAGAATTCATTATTAAATCAACCAATGGAATTATTCGAAGGGAGTAATTTCTCTCCTACTGCTGTTACTGGCTTACTACCGATGACTGCGACTGCATACGACTGTATAACTGGTGAATTAGAACCTGTGCATTTAGCACCATTTTTATTACAATTAATTGAAAATTCTAAGAAACCTATCACGTAAGTGTCTATATATATATATATATATATAAAGATTATTATTGTTTCCTTTAGTTCCTAGAGGAACATAGGGTTTCAGCCGCATGTTTCCATTGCGTTCGCTTCTCTGCAAACCTTTTCACCTGGCTCCACGTCTGCCCATATGCCTTCATCTCCTCTTCACATGACCTTCTCCATGTCACCCCACCCTCGCACTGACGGCCAACTCGCCGCTTCCCATTCGGGTTCCACCCGAGTGATGGCCTGTCGTGTGATGTCACTTGACGGTTTGTTTTCTTAGATTATGGCCGATCCACCTCCGTTTCTTCCTGCATATTTGTTTCACAATCGGTTCCTGCTGGGTCGGTTCGCTCCCAGATATCTCTGTTGCTGATCTTTTCTGGCCATCGGATCTTGAGGAAGTATTGAGCGAAGACAGCTGTTGATGAAGGTTTGTAGTTCGTTTGAAGTGCTATTCATGACGCGCCAAGTCTCTGATCCATAAAGTAGCACTGACTTCATGTTGGAGTTGAAAATCCGGATCTTATTTTTGATGCTGAGTGCTGTTGACCTCCTCACAGACTTGAGAGAAATGAAAACTTTCCTCACTTTCCCAATCCTAGCTGCTTTGATATCCTCGTCATTTCCGTCCGCCTATAGTTGAAACGATGCTTTCTAGGTAGGCGGGTAGGTGAAGCAGGTTGCTTCCTTCAGATTTCTCCCATTTATTACCATTGTTGTCAGTTGTTGTTGTTGCTGTTGGCCAGGAATCTTCATCACCTCTGTTTTTTCTGGATGTTTCTTCTGCCAACTTGTTGCTTTTCATTTGCATATCTTCCAGTTTGTGGGAAATCAGACATATATCACATCGGCGAAGTCCAGATCTTCCAAGTTTTTTGTGTGTGTCCATTTTATGCCTGTTTCCTCATTGTCTGCTGTCTGTCGCATTATCCAGTCTTCCGCAATCAGGAAAATCATTGAAGATAGTAGGCAGCCAGCCAGCCAGTTTGTCTAACTCCCGTCTTCACTTCTTTGAAGGATTCCGTGAGTTCCCCGTTGTGGATTACTCGGCACGCAGCATTGTCGTACAACTGTTGGATGAGATGTATAATTGTCGGCGGCACCCGTAGGTAGTAGCGAAGTAGTTTCCAAATCACCTCTCTATAGACGCTACGCTGTCGAAGGCCTTTTCAAAGTCGATGAAGTTGAGATAAAGAGGTGACTACCACTCGAAGCTGGTGCTTATCACGTTATTATTATTATATCGTGAATTGGATCTTGTCTCAGTGGTTGAATAGTCTACAGCCTTGCCTTATAACCGGAAGGTTATGGATTCGAGCCCCAGTGGGTGGGTGGGTGGGTGCCTAGTGATGAACAGTCGCAAATTAGGCTGGCTGACGAAACACAACTGGCTGTCTGTCCAGTCCAGTCCAGTAGTTCTCTGGATAGTTTTCCAATGGGGTTTTTGCTCTCTAATCGATGTCAGCAGGTCATGACAAAAAAAATCTTGTAAACATTAGCATTCCATTGTATTTTTCTGATTTCGTTTTATTTTTTGAAAAACCTACTTTATAATGTATTCGTAATCTTTATTTTATTTTTATTTTTTTCTTCCACAGTACGTTATATTTAGGCTCTGCTCAGTCTATTATTCATGGACATTGGAGTGAATGGAGTCAAGAATATTGGACAGTGAGTTTATATATCTATCGATCTGTAAATATTTTATTATTATTATTATTGTTCCCTTGAGTTCCTAGTGGAACATACGGCTTCAACTGCACGTCTCCGCTTGCTTGTCTTCTGCTGTACTTTTCACCTGCATCCATGTTACTCCATACTGCTTCAACTCTTCTTCACACGATCTCCTCCATGTCACCCTCATTAGACGTCCCACTCGCCGCTTCCCTTTCGGGTTCCACTCGAGGGCTTGACGCGCGATGTCACTCAACGGCCTCCTCAGCGAGTGTCCAATCCATCTCCACTTCCTCCTGCATATTTGTTGGGCGATTGGTTCCTGTTTCGTTTGTTCCCATAGCTTCTTGTTTGTGATTCTTTCCGGCCATCTGATCTTGAGTATAGAGCCAGCGAAGACAGTTGTTGTTGATAAAGGTCTGCAACAGGCTGTTGGAAATATTCTTTGTGACACACTGGCCAAGTTTCTGATCCATCCGTATAGAAGAACTGACTGACTTGACGTTTGTATTGAAAATCCGAATCACTTTGTTGTTGATGCAGGCTGAGTGACAGCGGAAGATTTCTAGATTGGTTTGTTTCAGGTTGATGAATGTGTTTCTCGCCTTCCCGATTCTCGATTTGACATCCTCGTCCGTTCCTCGTGTAGTTGAGACAATGCTCCCTAGATAAGTGGGAGAAGTAACCTCTTTCAAATGCCTTTTGTTGATGGTGATTGGCGGCGGATGTTGCTGTTGTTGTTGTTGCTGTTAATTGGTTATTCTCATAACCTACGTCTTGTCTATGTTCACCTGGAGTCCTGTCTTCGCTGCTTCTTCGACCACTTTGTTGGTTTTCGCTTGTAATATAATGTATATATATATAATATATATAATAAAATAATATATATAATAATATAATATAATATTTTTTAATTGTAAGAACCTGAAGAATAGAATAAATTATTGAAAAGAATATTCGTAGTTCAGATTGACTTTTAATACATAGATTTATACATAAAAGAAAATCTAACGAATGACGGTGACTTTGTTAATCAAATAATAATAATAATAATAATGTCATAAATGTTTTGAACGTCAGTGATAACGATGATTATATTGATAACAAAAATAATGATAATAAGGTCTGTAAGGTTTATTCAGGTGAGGCGATAAGAATAACGAAGTTAGTGAGTGATATCTGTATATGTAGACAACTCAATAAATAAATAAATTTGGTGAAATCTTAAGAGTTACGTAATATTAAAGGTGAAGTGAACATATAATCAGAGTTTAAATAAATATCATAAAAGGACAGAGCAAATGGAATATAAGAAAGAATTGGAAGGTTTTGATTAGAATTCACCTAGGCGAGCAAAGGAGAGACGAAGGTAAAACAAACTTCTCTTGTTGTATGCAAAGACTAGGATTGTTCTTTCGAATTAATTCCCATAGCTTCTGCTCTGTGTAAAAGAAAAAAACGGGTTTGAATTCCGTTCGCAAGGCTCGATGGAATGCGATAGATAACTTTGAAGGCACTATTTCTGTCCACTTAGTGACCGCTATCACCAATCAAATGAGACAAAATAGAACTTATTATAGATTTAACTTGGCCTTTTCCGAACCATGAAAGAAGATTCAGATTTAGATTTATTGATTGAGGATAGAAAGCTTGGAGCCTATGTTAATCCTTTTCTAGTAAATTTCTGTGGTTGTCCAAACCCTTCTTGAACGAATCAGTTGAGGTTGCAGACACCAATTCTTCTGGAATTCACTCCCAAGAGTGTATGACTTGATGTGAGAACCAGTACTCAACAGCAATATGATTTCTTCTTGGCTTTTGAACTCTCCTGCTATGTCCTCTAAGGTGTTCCGACCTGGTGGGAAGGAAAAGAGAGAATAGGTCAGGTCCGTAGTCATTATTTAAAATTTTAAACATTGTGATTAAATCTCCTCTCTGCCTACGGTATGACAGGGAGAAGAGATTTAAACTGTTTAGTCTTTCCTCGTATGATAAATTAGTCATTCCGGGAACCATACGTGTTGCCTTCCTTTGAACCCTTTCTAGAATAAGTGAGTCCCCTTTGAGACAAGGGCTGACGGCCTGGATGCAGTTTTCCAGTCTTGTCCTCACCAGAGATGTATACAAGGAGGAGAACATATCTCTGGTGATTCTAGTGAAGGCTCTGCGAATTGCCCATAATGACCTGAAACTACGTGCAGACACTGTGCGACAGTGTGCTGTAGTTTTTAAGTTGTGGCTAACTATGACACCTAAGTCTAAGTGAGTCTGAACTGATGGAAGTGTAATTCCCTCTAGTTCATAAGAGCTCGTGCTTGCTTGTCCAATGCGCATGGTTGCACATTTTGCCACATTTATCGGGAGCATCCATTCTATGGACCACTCTGACAATTTGTTGAGGTCCTCTTGCAACGTGGACGTGTCACTGTTACCCTTCAGCTCTCTCCAAATTTTTAATTCATCTGCGTATAGGACCATAGGGGAGTCGGTGAGCAGAGATAACTCATTGATATACAAAATAAATAGGAGAGGTCCGAGTACCGTGCCTTGTGGCACTCCGCTGAGTACTGCTGTCCAAGAGGAGAGTTTCGAATTGATCCTAACCCTCTGCCTCCTATATATGAGGAATTCCCTGAGCCAGTTTAGTAAGCTGCCTTTGATACCAAGACTTTCCAACTTCATGAGTAGTCTTTTGTGAGGTGCTTTATCAAAGGCTTTGCTGAAGTCTATGAAGACGACGTCAACGGGTCTTCTGTTGTCCCTGGATTTGACCCAGCTTTCTCTTGCACTGAGAAGATCTGACAGACATGAGAGGTTCCTTCGGAAGCCATGCTGTGCTCTTGATAATAAGCTTCTATTTTCTAGATATGCCATTATGCTTTTCTTGATGATTCTTTCCAGTGTCTTGATTAAAGTGCTGGTGAGACTGATAGGCCTGTAATTTGAAGGGCTTTGTCTTGATCCTCCTTTGTGGATGGGGGTTACTATGGCGTCTTTCCAGTCACACGGTAACACTCCATTTAGTAGAGAAAGCTTGAAGATCGTAGTCAAAGGGCCGGCTATGTGGGCTGATAGCTCCTTGAGAAGCCTTGGATGAAGATTATCAGGACCCATTGATTTCCCTGCATCTAGTTTCCTTAGGCAGTTGAGCACGATGCTCAGTAATGATACGTTTGTTGAGCTATCTAGTTGTTCGCCCTATATAACTTTCTCGGCAGCAGAAGGTAAATTTGTAGATACTATCTGTCTGTCTGTTTTCAACATAGAACTTTGCACCGATGTGCAGCAGTTCAAGTTGCCATACTCCATTGTAGCACAAAAAGCAAGAGAAGAAAGTAAAAAAGAAATGCAAAACAGAGACAGTAAACAGAGATATGAAACAAAAGAGATAGTAATAAAGGAGAACAACATAGTTTGATTGGGTACTATAAGTCACAAGGAGTGGATGCATCTGCATCAGTCATTGAGAACGAGGATTTTGAGCCATATCACCTATTGTCTCCAGCCTCCATTGGTTTTTACCGTCCCGAGGACCCCAACCAGGAGGTTAGGCAGTCTACACCTTCCTACGTAGCTGGCTGGTTGGCTTAAACTAACTATCGTGGATTCCATTGGCTGATGAGGCCATGTTTTGGTTTGACCACCACTGGCTCTTTTCCAGCCTGACCCTATGTCAGTTAACATTGTCCGTTGTCGAGGAAGGCAATGGCTAGGCATGCGTGTGTAAGATATGTTTGAACCATCTCAGTCGATGTAGCTTTACAGCCTCGTCGATAAGTTTCTCCTCCCTCCTTACCTAGCACTCGACGCCTAAGCTAAATATTGCTCACCCTGTCATACGACTTAACGCGGGAGGTAGAACGCAGACACCTATGATCAAATACAGCTAGCCTTTTCATGTTCTACACTCTCAATGGCTAGGTGTCACAGTCATAAGGGAGGACGAGGCGGACTGCTGCTCTGAGCAGTACACACGTCCTTTTGTTCGATAGTCGTATATCACGTTTACTAAGCCAGAGACGGTGTGAACTGGCATATGCGAAACGAGCCTTCTGTATCGGTGCTGAGATTTTGTCAGCGATCAACCCGCTGGCGTTGGCTGATGCAACTTCCGAAATCCATCATCGTCATCCATTGCAAAACACTTATTAATGTCAGGTCACAAAATCAATCATTATTAATGACTGTTTCACAATTATTTCACATAACTCCAATCTAAGGTTATTGAAGGTGATGGAAGCACTTTGGATTAATCACATACAGCCTAAACTGTGCGTACAAAAAAAACAATAGACTTCAACCTTCGCCTACCATGAACTGACTACTTGACCTATCTAAATATGATTGGTCATTAGTATGTACTTTTGTTTTTTTATATAACTGAGTAACTGTCATGAACTCTATTTGATTTTATTATTGTTAACCATGTTAGTTGTAAAGCTGTTGTAAAGAAACTACGAAATGACGATATCATCTCGCGAAATTTGTCTTCTTAATGCCTTATTGTTTATGTTTACAAAAACTTATTATCCCTCTTTGGACTTCTTGTTTGTTTGTTTGTTTGTGTGTATGTGCTGTTTTTGTTTTTAGGCGCGTCGAAGTATGATCTTTGCACGTCACTTACGTGATATTGGTGACAATTATCGTGCGGCTTATTTACAATCGTATGATACTATGGATCGTACAGTTTCACCATTAATGATTGAACAACTCGGTTCAGGATCTGAATGGTTACACTCAGCATGGCCATTATCTCCAGCACTTGGTGGACCGTATATTGCTGTCCATTGGCGACGTGGTGATTTTATCTCTAATCCTGGTGGTGGTGGTGGTGATGCGGATTCCGATAAAACAATGACTACTACTGCTGCTACAATGACAGCAACTAAATCTCTGGATAATTTTGAAACAGCTCAACAAATTCTTAATGCTTTAAGAATATTTAATCAATATGAAGAGCATCATATATATAATATATTTTTATCTACAGATTCTACTAAGGAAGGTAAGTTGTCTATCAAGCAGTAAAAATTGTTGTATCATGCTATATACTACTGATTCATCGATTGATTGATTGATTGATTGATCGATTACTTGATTGTGCTGAATATGATTGGATATCACATTTACGCCAATCAGTGTAGTGAGCTTGCTAGCGAGATTATCGAAATGATCTGACCACCCTTGGATAACCTTGTCGCCTAATTCGGTGTGGAGTTCCTCAAATTTCATCTTATTTGGCGATGTCATTGTGGATGATGCCACTGCATTCCCAGTGATCGACCGACTAGGGTTAATCTAATGTTAGTCTTCATATACTTAGAACAACACATTCAGGCGAACAGTGATATTGTGCTTTCAATTGGATCTCATTAGGCTTAACTCTAATATAGATATGACAGAGAAGATTTGTAACTTAGGTGGATGATTTTGGTGTGGTTGTGTTCTCTGAGCTGGATAGTTAATTTGCGAAGCTTTCATCACCCTACTAGGTGACATCTTCAGCGCATACACTTCAATTCGATGAAGTGAGCTTTTAGATTTCTCCACGAGTTTATTAATCATCTCTCCTGGTGGGTGACCTTGGATGTGATTGGTTGTTTTTGTGTGTTTTCACACCTTCTAGGCTACTTGTATTGGAACTGATTGTTTCTTTGACTTGAACTTTGACCCTTTGTTGTGAGGTTTCTTTCTTATCGGTTGATAAATTTTGTCTATCTCGATGTGTCTATTGATTGATGATTCACTGGAATACCAGGCAGCCCTCTAAAAATTCTCTAGCATTCTTGTTGTTTCCTCTGTCTAATATTTGAACATTGTCCCAGTCGAATTGATGTCCGTGGTTGTCTGTATGTAGTGATATGAGCGAGGGAGTGGATGTCATGTCTTTTGACGGCTAGCTTATGTTCGTGGATACGAAGACGAAAGGGACGTCCACTTTGGCCAATGTAGTGAAGTGATTTCGTTGGTTTGTGTGCGACTAGCTGATATCAATCCGTGATCAACTCGTAAAAACAAAACTAACCCTTACAAATCAAACTATAGAACATTTTCATTAGGATTATTAGAACTTGACAGGTAATATTTGGGGTGTTGATGGTAGTGTGTAACTAGTGCTCTCTCTCTCTCTAGTTATATTAACGCTGGGTGAGATAACACTCTATCTCCACATGATTGTGATATATCTGTCTGTACTTGTTTTGTTTTTCACTTTTTTTTAGAACTTGATAATTTAAAGCGTCTACTTTATCCATATCAAGTGTATACTTATGAACCAAATGAATTAGAATGGATGTTATATGGACCTGGTGGTGTAGCAATTATTGATCAATGGATATGTGCACATGCAAGGTAACTTGAATGCTTTTCTTTTTTATTAATATTGTATCTGTTTTCAGTCACTCACGCCCGCACACACACACACACACACGCAAACGTACGCACAAACATATAATCTAACTGATAAATTTGATGTATATGCATACTTCGGTTCAATCAATCGACAGAAAATCTAAAATCGAATTAAATAATTTATTTAAGACCTGTTGCACAAGAGGTGGTGGCTGTCTTGTGGCCCAAGTGGTCTAGTGGATAACGCGCTTTGGCGTTTGAAACTATTGACACTGGGTTCCAGCCTCAGTGTTGGGAACATCATCACTGGGGCTCATTGAGGAATGCATGCACATCCAGATGACGAGTCCCAAAATGGGACGAAATGCGCATCTTGATAGATTCCACTGCTAGTCACCCACCATCCACCAATTAACTTCTATATGCGTAGATGTTGGCGCCAACACTCTGCTGTTCTGTTTTTCAGTGTGTGTTTGTGTGTGTGTGTGTTTAATTAAACTATGCGTATTAATAAATCTTTGTCGTATGGTTTTTGTAAAAGGTATTGGTGTACTGTACTGTACTGTATAAAATACACATTGGCAGCGTCGAATATTAACTTAAATGTGATCTACACCAACTTGTTCCTTCATATGATGCTTGTAGGCATAGTGGGCACTGAAGCAGTTCTATCCTCTGAACTGTTTTTGGTCGTCTTATATCACCCTTTATTTGCACATCATTTGCAAATTGGTCAGATATCATCACATTCAATAGCCTGTTGGATTCTGCACAGTGTTTGTAACCTTATTCACACAGTTCTCTTCTTTGATTACTTTTTCCTTGGGTTCCGGGTGGAACATAAGGCTTCAACAACACATCTCCACTTTGTTCTACCTTCTGCTGTTGTCTTCAGCTTGGACCACGGTTGCCCGTAATCTCCCATCTCCCCTTCCTCCTCCTTCTCCTCGCCACATGATCTCTTCCAATTCGGATTCCACTCCAGCAATGGTCTGCATTGAGCGCGATGTCATTCGACGACCTCTTTAGAGTATGTCCAATCCACTTCCATTTTCTTCTGCATATTTGTTGAACAATCGGATCTTGGTTGGTTAGATTACTCCACTGCAGAGTTTCTTGTTACCTATTCTTTTTCGCCATATGATCTTCAATATGGAGCCAGCGAAGAGGGTGGCTGTTGATGAAAGTACGAAACCTGTTGGAAATCCTTTTCGTGATACGCAGTGCAAGTTTCTAACCCGTATGAAAGGACCGACTTGATGTTGGTGTTTAAAATCCGAATCTTGTTCTTAATGCTGAAGCGGAGTACAGAAAACTTCCAAACTGGTTTCAGGTTGATGACCAGCTCTGACATCTTGATCCGTTACCCCTGTAGTTGAAACGATGCTTCCAATAAGGATAAGTGAAGGAGGTAACCTCTGCCAAATCTCTCCTGTTGATGTTGATTGGTGCTGGTTGTTGTTGTTGTTGCTGTTGGCTGCTTATCTTCATCATTTTTTTCTTTTTTTATGTTCACCTGGAGTTCTGTCTTCGGCGCCTGCCAGTCTCTTCTGCCAGTTTGTTGGTTTTCGCTTGAAAGTCTTCGAGTTTGTGTGACATTAGACATATATTATCTGAGAAATCCAGATCTTCTAGAACCTTCTTATCGACCCAGCGTATTCCTGTCTCCTCGCTCCCCACAGTGGTCTGCATAAACCATTCCACCACAATTAAGAATATCATCCTTGGTAATAGTAGGCAGGGAGTCTTATCTTACTCTTGTATTTACTTCCAATGCGTCGCTGAGTTTTCCGTTGTGAATGTCATATGGCCAACTGTTGAATGAGGTTGATAAAGACTTGGGCACTGCATGCCGTAGTGTTGAAGTAGTTCAACACACTGTCCGTCGAAGGCCTTTTCGAAGTCGATGAAGTTTAGGTAGAGGTTTGACTGCCCTTATATTCTATGCTTTGTTCTGTGATGGCAATACGTAGAGTTGCAGTTTGATCAGCACACGATTTGCTGATCTTTCAGAATCCAGCTTGTTCCGGGGGTGGATGGAGTTCTGTATCCAGTGCATCCTTTATTCTGTCAAGGATGATGCGACATAGTATTTTGTATAGCGTGGACAAGAGCATTATTCCACGTCATTTGCTGCAGAAACCTAGCTAGGTCGCCCTTCTTTGGAAGCTTTACAGGGTAGCCAGCCTTTCTTCCAATAGGTAGGTACCTTTCCTTATTTCCAAACCTTTTGCAATGATAGTGTGAGAACATCTACCGTGATCTCTGGGTCTGTTTTCAGTGCTTCGTAGTGGGTGAATTCCGCCTATTTCTGCTACCTTCCCGGACTTCAGCAGTTTGATCGCGTATCAGGATTTCTGCTTTCGTTGGAGGATTGGTGTCCAGTGGCAGGCAGTTGTGTGCGTGCTGTTGCTAGTGGTGGTGCTATTTTCGGTCGAGTTGCAGGTGATGGTCGTTTGCAGAGTTCTTTAGAGTGATCAGCCCGTTGTTTTACTTGTTTCTTCTCCTTGGTAATCAGGTTCCCCTGATGATCTGTTCCCGGATAGGGACTCGGTTACCTGATATAGTGTCCTGATGTCTATTTTGCCTGCAGCCTGCCTGTTTTGCTTCAGTTGCCGGCCAATGTGTCGTAGAATTGTCTTTTGTCTTTCCTAGCACTCTTCTTTACTGCTTTATTCAGTGAGGCGTACATTGAACTCAGCTTCTCCTTCTGTTGCCCATCTTCTCTTTCAACATCCTCGTCTCTTCTTTTAACTTCTACGTAGGTGTCTGTTGAGAGCCATTCATTGTCGTGTCTCTTCTTTCTACCTAGAACGATTGTACACCTTTTCTTGAATATCACCTTCAGAGAGTTCCAATGTTCTTACAGACAGGTTTCTTCATATTCAATAAGACTTTATTATTCTTTCATACTCCTATTCTCTCTGTCTCACATTTCTGCCCACTGTCGTTTTACCAAGCCTCTTTTTTCTCTCCTCTCTTTCTTCTTTCTTTGTATTCTACGTGGAGTTTGGCAACTTGTAGTACTGAACTTCTGTGCAAATTTCTATATGTTGAAAGCAGTCAGTTAGCCAGCCAGTCATTCACGTCTCGTTTTCTAATACCCGTAGACTATTGTCTGCTTTGGAATCCTTTGTTTAATATTATATATCTGTATATACTTTATGGTGCGTTTGTGGGGCACAGCGGTAGTTTGCTTGCCAACCACGGCGCCGTATGTGGTTCGGGGTTCGATTCCCGGTCACCGACCGGCCACGCATTCCTTATTACCTCGGTAAGTCAGTAATAAGACGTTTGGTAAAGAAGGAAGGTTGGCTAGGCCTCTAGGTTGAAGCCGTATGTGTGTTCCACTGGGTACGGAAAGGAATAAGAGAAAAAACAATTGGTGAGTCCGTTTGAACATCTTAGCTTTATAAACTGTATATTTATATTGTTATCATTTTTATTTTTTGACTGCACATTCTATATATTTATATCTGTGTACCTGTATATCCGCATAATACTCATGTCCTCACCTACACGTTCACCTGCTGCAACTGAGACTAATGAGGCACAAGACTCATCAATCAACTCAATAGTCTATCTGCGTCTACCGCCATTCGATTTCACTGAGCCGCGGATTTGGTTCGTCATCATCGAACCCCTCTTTGCTACCCGCGGAATCAAGTCACAGATCGCGAAGTATGGATGTGTTTTAGCCGCACTGCCCACAGAGGTTCTAGCGGACATTAGTGATTTAATTTACAGCGCCCCTGCAGACCACCAGTATGATAGGCTCAAAGCAGTCTTGATTCAAAGAAGGAGTGTTTCTGATGAGAAACGGATCCAACAGTTACTCACTGCATATGAGTCAGGCTCACGGACTCCATCTCAGCTCCTCAGGCATATGCGTCAACTGCTTAATCCACACAAAGTTGACGAAGTGGTTTTACGCCAAATGTGGTTGCAACGGCTGCCGTGACATATCCAACAGGTTTTGACCATCTCCTCCAAATCGGTCGATCTAGACGCACTAAGTGAGCTGGCAGACAGAATACTGGATGTAATGCCTGACACCAGTATATACAACGTATCGACAAGTCAGGGGTTACCAGTTCAAGGGACGTCTGCTACCGACACAACTATATTGTCAGCGATTTTGACATTGACGAATAAGATGGAAAAGCTAGAAACTGAAATTTCAAGCTTACGTGCATGAGGTAGTAGATCACCGTCCAGGTCAAGGCAACGTCGACGGTCTTTTTCAAGACAGCGGACCCCAACGTCTAGTACTCAAAATCGGTCGGTCGGTCGGTTTTCGACATAGAACTTTGCACTGATGTGCGGCAGTTCAAGTCGCCACACTCCATGTAGCACACAAAGCAAGAGAAGAAAGTAGAAGAACTGCATAATATAGACAGTAAACAGAGGTGTGAGACAAAGGAATAGTAATAACGGAGAACAAAACAGTTTCATTGGGAATCATAAGTCACAAGGAGTGGATGTATCTGCGCCAGCCACTGAGAACGATTTTGAGCCATGTCACCAATTGTTTCCAACCATTGGTTTTTACCGTCTCGAGGACCCCAACCAGTCAGGAAGTCTACACCTTCTTGCGTGGCTTAAACTAAGTAAGTGTTGTGGATTTCATTGACTGATGAGGCCATGTTTTGGTTTGACCGCCGCTAGCTCTTTTCCAGCCTGACCCTATGTCAGCTAACATTGCCCTACGAGGAAGGCGATGTTTGGTGATGTCATAGAAAGTTTGGAAATCGAGCTATTCGGTGCTTAAAACCATGTGCTTTCAGCAGTAGCGACTCGGCTCAGGGAAACTCCCCAGCCGGACAGTGGTGGCGACGGCTGTTACTGGCAACCATTCAAGTCGCCTTTTCTATGTGAGGGAACGTGAAGGAAAAAAACAATATAGTTTATACACTTTCAATGTATGCAGACAATGAGGTATACACAACTTGTATGCTTATTAATGCGACAAACAGCGGGCAATGAGGAAACAGGCATAA